GGAGGCTTCTGTGGGAGCAACTCGGCTGTCCAAGCTGAGGCACAAACCCTGCCAGGTCTCCATAGTAAATACAAGATGCACAAAGTGGAAACAAGCATGAACAATTTATTTTCTCCTGTAAAAGATGACACTGTTAGATCTCTGGTCCTGTTTCACTCTGTCACTTGGTAGTGCCAAGTTGGTGTCACACAATGAGCTATTCCAAAAACATACACAGAAAACACACACGGATTACATGATGCACACATCACGGGACCTATGTATCCAGACAAGTTCCAGAAGAGCATGGTGGTGACCTCTAAGAGCATCCTACATTCTGGCATGGGTGAGCAGGGAGGGCTTCCTTGACTCCATCTGTGGTGGGTACCGAAGTCACATGGCTGCATAGAAATTGTACAGAACCTTAGTTCTGTTTTTAACTATATATTTCTTTTTGTGACTCTTTTATGGAGATCTAACTTCTCATCTGGCTTGCAAACTCTGAAAGCAAAGACCTTGCTTATTTTTGTATACCATAATCTCTCAAGTTCACTGATAGCAACCTGGCACATGGAAATTCATTAGTAATTATTTTTTGACTGAAAGCCATGACTTATTAAATTTATTTTCTTTGAATACAGACATTTCTTTTAGTGTTTAATAAGTACTACCAACACTGAGGTTAGAGTAAGAAACCATCCAGTGTCAGAGGTATAAAGCATGCATACAATTCAAATTTTGTACTACTTGTAATAGTAAATAAATTAATCATCTTAATAAAACAAAATTTAGAATCTTCTCAGTTCCACTACAACATTCCCAAATTATTCCTGTATTTTGTACAGCTCACTAATAATAGTCTTACTAGTTTTTTTATTTATATATTGTCTTTTGATTATTTCTACAGAGGAAAGATGTTGAGGACATGCACATCTTTTAACAAGAATGACAAGGAAAAAATAGCTCTGGAGAAGGGAAATATAATTCACTTAGTGAGAATATATTAAAAGATTAAAGATAGGAGAACATTCCCATTCCTCCATTATGGTACAATGTGGAAATTTCCTTCAAACTATATGTTAGGTACAGGCAGTAGAAGGAAAAAACACTAATTTAATAAGTACCAAATGATTACACTAAAAAGTCATGATAAGACTGTTTAGTGTAGCAAAGAAATTGATTAAAGGTAGGCCAATCCTGGACTTCATCCCAGCAGTTGAAGGTAGGGAGGTACCAAAAGGAATGGCCTCATTTTATGGTGTAGACTTCTTTCTATCCAGGAGTAGTTTTACTGTGGCTGTCCTGGAGAGTGGCTGGCTCTTACTTTCTTGGTACTGGCACTCACATCTGGGTATAAAAACGTCTAAAAGAAGTCGCATGTACAGCAAGTACAGTACAATTCATGAGCAGTCAGTTATGTACGTGGATGACTGAAGGGAGAGGACACACACATATGAATGACTGAGAGAAGATTTACCCTAAGTAATAATACACATCCAAGGTATTCAGATGCACAAGGATGTGAGAAATTTTATTCTGAAATCTGCATTAAAAAATAAATCAAGAAGTGCCAGGGCATGCCTCAGTATTCCCCGCTGTCAAAATGTGGTAGCAGCTTTTTTTTTTTTTTTAAGTAAGACTTAAGGTCAGAGAGTCATGAAAGGTCCTAAGAAAGAAAAGGACATTAAAGTTAGGTATTATATACAGTATAAGATAAATTCTTGTAAAGAATGCTTTTGAATTGGGGCTGGGGATTTAGCTCAGTGGTTCTGCTGCCTGCCTCATAAGCACAGGACCTAAGTTCAATTCCCCAGTATAAAAAAAAAAAAAAAAAAAAAAAAAAAAAGACTTAAAAGCATTTTTAAAAATGGACTCAAACATTTGTGGCACATTTGGATATATCTTCTTGAACCTGAGAGTTCCAAGGAACAAAGTTTGATATTCTTTGAGGTATTAAAGACTTTAATGGGGAGAAAAGGTAAATGGGGATTGTGGGTAAGAGCCAGATTACAAATATCATAATTCTCTAAGCCATTTACAATTTAGTTGATGAATTAAGACAATCTCGTTTGAGTCTCAACTTTTTCACTTTCAGTATGAAATGGTTGACAAAGAGTTCCTAAAATACCAAAGGCAATAAGATCACCCTGAATGCTGTATGGTTAGGTTTAAGAAAAAAATAACAAAGATTTTACATCATAAACAGAAAAGAAGATTGTTTCCTCTCTGAGTTGCTGGCTATAGGCTTTAGGATGATCATAGTCCTCACTGGGGCAGCTGGTGATGTTCTTGGCTCTGCTCTGAGACTCGCTCTGACAGAACTGGGTGCACTATTAGGTAGGACTGAAACTGGCTGAGAAATCCTCTTGATTTCTTTTCCTTGACAACAAAAATAAGTTGGACCAGATACTGCATTTCACGTGGGAAGTACTTAGGAGTCTGGACTTTAGAATGACTCTAAATATAATTTTAGCTAGTCTCAACAGTCACTGTATTAAATATGTGCATATTCTGGAAAAATTTTTGCCACAGAGATTATATAAATATATGGGTCACGATTTTTACATATAACTTAGTGCAATGGAAAGAAGTTCCGTATAGCCTATTGTCATTGGTTTTCCACACACAGAACTGCTCAGTATAGGTCTGGGGAGCTGATTTTTCACGGCTTTTCTGATAAAAACAACTCACATCAGGAGCTAGATATAATCGGCCCTATTTCTCTCATTTCCAGCTCTGTAATGCACACAAGATTTCACATTCAAGCTTAAAGACGTTCCAGTCTGTATGTTCAATCTCTGTCCACATGTTTGCAAACAACTCACCCTGACTTAGCGACAAATACACAAGTGGTACAATCTGTTGTTAGGAAGGATGAGCCCATGCAACTCCCATGTGGTCAGGGAATGTCAACGTCCTGAGGGCAGGACAGAGGTGTCCAAGGCAGGTCCCCTTGGCATACTGGGCTCTGGGCCCCATGAAGGAGACTTAGAACAACCAGCACAGGGATCCCCTTTACTCTGAATATCAACTTTGTCATTTTCCTGTTTTCAAATATCAACTTTCAGCAAGAATGGAATGTTAATTAACATTATATGCAGGCTAGGCTATCAACCTTCAGATTTAACAAGCAAAAGATCATCAAAACAAAAACCAACTGGGTTTCCAGCTTTTATTTATGGATATTAGTGCCCACATGAGGCAATCAGAATAGAGTGTCCAGCTCAGTTACAGCTCATCATTCCCTCGATTTATGTACTCAAGAAGACCAGTTCTTTCATCTCCTCCCTTATGATTCTCCTGGACCACAAAGCCTATTCAAGCTTCTCCACAGGGCCCCAGAACTACATGTGCAATAACTTCCTAGGGAAGCCCAAAGCCTACCTCACCCTTCCCACTGGGGAAACACAAACTCAACCCTTTCTGGTGTGATTACATAATACAAGGGCTTGTCTGACCTCTACTAAAGCAGAATCTATTCTTCAAATATCAACTTGTGCCTTATCTACTCAGAAGTACTGGTGCATTCTGGGCAAAGGGGAAGCAAGCAGGATTTATCTTTCAACAATGGTAATATACTTCAAGGGTTCTGGGTAAATAAAATAATGTGGAGAATATAACAAGTTTGACACGTGCAGGTTGCACTATTTGTATTTTGAGTGGGGAAGGGGCAAGGGGGAAGAAGAACACTTGTGAACTGGATTTTTCCCAAGGCAAGTTATCTGTCTCACACAATTTCCAACTTGTTTCCTGAGTTTCTACTCATCAGCTGATGCTTTACTGAGTTTGAGGAAACAATTTTTCCTTGGGCAAAATGTTTCATTAGCCCCTTTCAAGCATGCACACCAAATGTCAGAAGCAGCCACCCATTCACCACATCGCTGTGATGCCTAATATAATGTGATGCCTATGCACCTCTCAACAATGCCGCCCACCCGGGGCCAGTGCTGTCCTCATCTGAGAACCTCTCTGAGGTTAACATGGACTTCATCCGTATTACTTTTCTTAAAGCTTAACTTAATGTGTTTGAGGGTAACACTTAACATAGTCCTCATCAAATCAAAGGGATTCTCTACATTAAATTCCTGCTTCAAAATCAGTAGCACAGAGCTGGGGATTTAGCTCAGTGGTTCTGCGGCCTGCCTCACAAGCATAAGGACCAGAGTTCAATCCCCAGTACCAAAACAAAACAAAACAAAACAAAAACAAAATTAGCACAGCAAAGGGACATTGTTTGGCTTTCTGTATCTATGCATGAGTGTACCGTATATAAAATAGGTATTTCAAAGAAGGGAGATATTAATTCCTACTTCCATTCTGCTCTTTTTATAGCTTGGGTGCAAAATTTCACAAAAACCCAACTCTAAAACAATAAAGAGAAATAGAAGCTAACTAAAGTCAACAGCTCTTATGATTTTGCATCTGAATGAAACAAAGAACAGGATATTGTAACTCATTGTTTACCAAAATAGGATTTTGGGTTCACTTTCTATTCTGGTTCAGAGGAAGTCTTCACCAGAGCAGTGCTACCTGTTCAAGGGTCATCAAAGTTCCTTGTCAATTTAATTTCTTCACAGTTGGCACTATATTCAGAGAGTGTTTTCACACACCTAGGGTAGACATTCTGGTTATTTCTCAAGGCAGGATAGTCAGACGGATCAATATTCTCAGTGCTTTCTGGCCTTTAGCTGAGTGTTTCCTCATCATTACATACACAGCTCTGAAAACAGTGGTTATGGTACAAAGCATTTGGAAACTTGTAACTGATTCCTTTCTAGTGGCTAAGATGCAATAGGCTATTTCTGCAACTGGTCCTGTCCATAACAAACCCAGCCCGCATGTTGTAGTTGTAGGCAGAATGCTTTCCTCTTACCCACTACCATATAAAAAATGCAAAGACATTCTTTCCTAGTTGGCACTAACCATAGGCAATAACAACTTTAGGAGCACAGAAGGCGGGGAGTCCGTTATTCAAAAGAGGAAAAGTAAATTTAATGAAAGGACAGCACTGTCTTACTTACCACTGAAGTGAGAGCCATCTGAAAACTATAGATGCGGGCAAGGCCAAAGTCAGCCAGCTTTATTTGTCCACTGCTGGTCACCAAAATGTTCTGTGGTTTTAGATCACGATGCACCACTCGGTGAGAATGAAGGAAGTCCAGACCTCGAAGAAGCTGAAACATCATATCCTAAATAAAACCAAAAATAAAGTCAGTAAGTGCTCAAAACAGAAATTCACCAAGAGCTGTGTTTAAGCCTGAAGCCTCAGCACTTTGTTGAGTGCTTGGCACAAAGCAGACACTGGAGAAGCATTAACTGAAAGAATAAACTGGTCTTCCTGTTTCTCCACTCTCCTATGTCCAGAAAATTACAAAACCTTTCACTGTCAAGCTGCATTTCATTAATGAAAGGACAACTTAAAACAGTTTCCATGTCACAGGAAATGTCCTGGAAGGATATACACCAAACTGGCGTGAGGGTTAATGTCCGGGAGGGAAGCAGAAGGAGGCAAGATAGGAATGTATCTCCCTTCTTGTTTACTATGTTATTTCAATAATGAAGACCAAGTGAATATTCATAATATTATCAATGGTGGCTATGACTTTTATAATGACCACTACACTAAGCAGCCACTATGTATTGAGCACTCACTATTCTAAGCACCTTTCACTGAGTAACTTGTTTAATGTATAACAAATGTTGAGGTAAATAATCTCACTACTCCATTTTCTAGGTCAAGAAAGTCAAGTCAGGTAACTGTCACAACACTAGCAAGAGACAGTCATAAATCAAACCAGAATCCGGAAAAAAAAAAAGGATTCAAACCTCTAACGCACTCCTTATTAGGTCAATAGGTGTGTAAAATAAGGCAAGTGTTGTAACCTCTTTGAGAACTTTTCCATGTGCAACAAAATGGGGCAGTGTTTCTTGGACTATTATTATTATTTTTTTCCTCGTTGAGTTTATTGGTACATTTTAGGTATACAGTACAGTTACATTCATTATTGGGATCTTGTACCTTTATATGACAGGTCTTGGTTCTCATTTTTTCCCCTTGTCCCTGCCCTCCCTTCACCCCTCCTCCCCTTGGACTATCATTATTAACCAGTATGGAACAAGAGGGCAATCTGAAAATAAATCAGTTATTTTCCTAATTCTAGGTCCAATCAAATTAGATACAAAGTATGAAGGTCACAAGCAGTATCTGAAAGTAGGAATTTAAGACATTGGCCATGTTATGATCTCTTGAAATCTGGAATTGCTAAGAGTAACCTATTCCCAATATTTTAAGAATAATGCATTTAAGGAAAGATCCTCCTATTTCATTCATGGGTTGAAAAATGATTAGACAGCATCATGGACTTCAGAGCTGACAGGACCGTGAAGACACACTGGTTTATCAGCCGGCCCACCAACCCCTTTCACCAAGAAAGGCACAGTATCGGGTTTCTGGTTTCCAATTCCAGTTCTTCCTTTAGAATATGTATTCATATTCTAGGTTGTTCGAAACCAGTCTTCGTTTTTCCATTTATCAAATGGAGACATTTACTGTTCATAAGAGAAAGACGTTTAATGTACGAATGTGAGAGTGCTGTTTCTGGCACATGGTAAGCACTCAATAGATAGCAATTCTTAAGATGACCATTGCCCTGATAAGTGGTCTGTTTCCTGGGGGAGACAGATCACAAACAACTATAAGAAGGTGCATCAGTGTTATAAGGTCAGTGTGAACAAAGCTATGAGAGGGGGCATACAATGACGCAGGTGCTTGGGGATTACTTCTGAGATCCCCATAGGTGGATATTCTGAGCTGGCAGGGCTTACCCTCTAAGCTTCCCAAGGTGAGAACCTTGGAGGACACACTGCACTGGCAAGAGACGAGAACCAGTGCAAGTCAAACAACTAGCAATGAATAAACAGCAGTGTGAAAATGAAGCACAAATGTTAAAGAAAGTCATCTTCTGCTGTGGCAAAGAAGTCTTTATTGGAAACATATGCATACAGCTTGTAAGCACCGGATTGTAAAAAGCATGACTAACCCAAAGTAATGTCATGCTGGCTCATCATCTTCAGCTTCCTATACAATAAGCATCACCCATTTAAAAGAGAACCAAGAATAAATCTGCTTGGTTCGTGCTACAGGGTCCAAACAGTGAAGTAGTCAATTAGCAGTATAAAATTTTAAACTAATTAGTTAATAAAAAGCCCATCTAAATCTGTGTTAAAAAGTATGTACTGCTTTTGTGTACTTAGGTACATAGTACATACTACATTTTTATTGATTAGATAATTGATAAAATGAGTATGTCCATGCTTACAGAAACCTATATATCAGGTAGAAGATGAAAAAAATCACTGAAAGTCCAATACTAAGAACGTGTTACTGTTTAATAACTTTGGGGGTCTTCTAGTCTGCCTTTTAAAAATTAGACATATCATATTTGTATGAATAAATAAAATATGCATTTAAATAAAATGGTTATTTTGTACTTTAAAAAACATGTAAATTTGTTGTGAATTATCTGTCATTTCAATAAAAATATTCTACATGTAACTTTCTTATACAGTGCAATTTTTAATGGCTACATAGTTTCCCCCTTTGGGATATGTCACAATTGTTATTTGCTTTTTAGTTGTGCTAACTTGGAACTTATAGTACAGGTGTAGCTCTGCTTTGTTTAAAGGTTAGAGTACATTAAACTGACTTGTTAACATTATATCCAAGTGAGAGTTAAGCACTGAGAATCCACATGACTGCGTTAACCACAATTCCATGTTAATCACTCCTAAGGATATAAGTTTGTTCTATGTTAAAAACCACCCTGAACTTTGGTTCCAAATAATAGGATGATAATGAATGAATGAACTGCAACACTATACAAGTATGAAAAAGTACCTTTATTCTGAATCATAAGAAGGGTTTTGATCAAAGACATTTCAAAGGATTCCCTACATAGGCTAATCTGTTCTTCTTCAATTTATAGTGTCAAGGGACATACTTTTAAATTAGCTTTAAATAATCTATCCTATAGAGGAGTCAAATACTTCACAGTAACACAAGTGATACGGTGCAATGAAACTTTGGAAATTGTCAACTATGGCTCTTTCAGTTAAATACAGGTTTAAAAGTTTCCCTCAGGGCTGGGGATTTAGCTCGGTGGCACTGCACCTGCCTTGCAAGTGCAAGGTCCTGTGTTTAATTCCTGGTACCAAACAAACAAAAGTTTCTTCCATGTTGCAAAATTCTGACACAGAAGTTTTGAACATCTAGTCATATTTGTGATATTCTCATGGGGCCTTACTCTAGCTTCACAGGTGACCAGAAAGTGTCCACTGTGGAATAAAGAGCGGCCCTACATGTTTTTAGATGGGGGCTCTGTGTTTGGCAACACTCCTCCAAAGACTCCAGACCTGTGTCCGAATACCAGAAATCTTCGTCTTTTAGTTGTTTCTTTTAGGGATTCTAGAGCTTACTTCTTAAAAACCCAAACAAATAAGCAAACTCAAAACCCATCTTATGTTTTTCTAATGGAAAAAAGATTATGATGAGGTCCTATTTTCCAGCTGTTAATAATGTAGAGTAGTTCCTAAAGTTACTAAACGCACCCGGTTTACACTACACAGTAAATCACAGGCATGGCAGCTTTCATATGGACATTTCTGGACATTCAGATATATCTAGCTAATCTGAGGCGCATGTGCACATCCTCAAACTTCCGGTTCCAAAAATGCGTAACAATTTTTCTATTTAAAAATTGAAAAAAAGTTTAAAAGATTGCTTGTTTGTGTTTTATTGTAAGTCAATAATTTTAAGAGGGATAAAGGTGACAGTTGGAAGTTCTGGGAATTTTAAGTATTAGACTTTTCCTCCTTACATTACTCACCATGAACATACCAAAACATTTTTTCTGAAAACCTACTAATAGTTCCCTTACATGAAACCATATTTTGGCAGTAGTTGACTAAGCAGTTTCGACAGAATTCTTCTATGCAATAATGCATTTAATTTCTAAAATAAATACCAAATGTAAAATTGAAAAAAGAGGTGAGGTACCTTAGAATTTTATAACAAAAAATTAGAATTTGAACAAGGATTCTCTGTTGGCTGCTATGTCCCTGTGAGGCACAAATTTTAGTAGAGACCTAAGGAGAGAAGTGCTTCTTGAATGATGCCTGCTCCTAGACATCTATTACTTTAGGCCACACATAAAATTTCTCACATATATAGTCTTAGGGAAATGCATGCTGTATCATATTTTGCCCTCAAGTCCACTAAAAGAAAATACTACATGCATAATAATTAGCTAAAAACCTATCCAAAGGACAGTAAGGGATATTTCTGAGTGTTATGTTTATAAATTTAGTTTTTCTGTCTGGGAAGATGTTAAAAGTTCAAATAGATTTGTCATATGGTACAAATATGTTGTTTCTGGGTTTTAGTGACAGGCTGAAGAGGGCAAAATGTTGCCTGTGCTGAATGATTTTTTCAGTTAATGATCTAAGCTTAACCCACGTGGGGTACATAGACATCGTCTGCATAGTCAGCAGTGTTACTACAGAGACCTTGCACATCTTACTTTTGCTTTGTATTTTTTTTAATTTACTTACTTTATTTCTCTTTAGAATTAACTTTAAGTGTACTGTTTTTTTAAATTGTGAATAAGAACCCTGTGGATTTTATTATTGTTTTGTTTGTCATGAATAAGCTAAAGTAGGTATGTTTTAGGTTACCATATGTCAAGTGGAAGTCAGAAGCTGACATCATAGTGTTGCCAAAGACAGTGCTAAGATGGAAGGTGTGTTTGATATTTTCAGCTCTAAACAATGAGTGCTTGTATAGAGTAAGAATAGTGTTCAAAGTGAATTAACAGTTCAGATAGAATAGGCACAGTGTCTTCAACTGACTGACGCTCAACCCTACAGCACAGTAGAAATCATTATTATTTTTCTGTCTTCCTTGATCCATTCAAAAGATCACATGTTGCTTTTCAGGATTATTTTCTCATTTGAAGAAAATTTTGAATTAATATAGGTGAGTTTTGAGCTATAATTCACAAATTATTATAAGTCAAGCAAATAAAATATGTCACCAAACTATTAAATATTTAGATAGTTAATTAGTGGGAAGATGAATCTTTTTATTACCCTCAATTGAAAATTAGTGACTCAAAAGCTAAAAATTTCCATC